CAGCCAACTTTTCTGTTCCCTCAAAGAACTTTGTAATGTCAGAGTCCTTCATTGTAGCATTAACAAAGGTATGCATTGTAGACAACATTGTAATGGGTTTAGGGGGAGAGGGAGGTCTTGGGCTTGGTGGTCTGGCAGGAGGCAAAGGCATTCTGTGAGAGCAAGTGTGTGGGGGCATTCAATGAGCACTAAGGCTCATAACCTTTTAACAAGTGTAGTAGGAGTGCCCTAAGTACTCTCTCTTATTGAGACATCAAGCAAGTATCTACCTTATATACTACATAGTGAAGTCTGATAATCCGAGACATTCCAAGTGCAGTAATTCTACATAAGGCAATTGGGGATTTCCTAATCCAGAGCACAATCTAATAGTAGTAATAATAAAATACAAACCAGTAAATCAAATCCTTACAATGCAAAAGCCAGTCTGAATATTGTGTCATAAAACGCTTCGACTTGGATAGAGGGAAGAACGCGGATACGAGTAGGATGTGATGAGGTACCGCATCTTGTGCAGACGGAGATATTTCTTTGTTTGGTTTGGAATTATTCAGCGGCGACCTGACGGTCCCACATTCTCACGTGATGGCACTGCGTGAGCCTCTCAAGTCTGATTCCCATTTCCCAAGCTTGTGATTAGCAATATCAATCTTTTCATTGCACACAGCCTTGTATCCATGTACCCCAGTTGTTGTCTATGACAGACAGTGCCCTCCTTGTGTCCTATTCCTGTCACTATACTTGATCCAAATACGTCCTCTGCATTTTAACATTCATCAATCGAAGACCATCAGTCATTTGATCTGACATTGTCCTTTGAAATACTGCCAATCCATCAACTATTCCAGACGACGGCTGGCTTCGAGCACTGGAACGGCAGCCTGTTTCTGTGGGTCCCTCCAGAACATCGACGCAGCATATGCAGTGGCCAAGTCCGCATTCCGGACAACGAGGATGGAAGGGTCATGTACATAGACCGGACGAAGATTCCTCATGGGAAGGACTGGACGGAGATGATGCGTGCTGAAGGGTTAGACAGCGAGTGAGATCATTCCATAATTTAGACAGATTATTCTCAGCTCCCTGCAATGTAACTCTGCACTGGTCACTGTCTATGCGATCGGATCAATTATGTATGGTTTGTTTTCGATGAGTAGATATTCCATGACGTGCTCCAGGACTCCAGTTTTTGAATAATAAGTCAAGATCGTATACTAGACATTTTCAATAGTGAAGTCTTGGAAAAACAATCAGCAAAAACATAGCCCTATTATTCCTAATAACTGACATACAATTGTAACCATGGACAAGCAGCATGCCAGTTGATGTGCTAAGCAAATGCCGACTCAGCCAACACAGTGCATACTTACTTACAACTTCCATAGCTTGGCTTGGCCTTCCAAGAAAAGAGATAACAGGATGTTGTTCTGTCTGAAGAGAAATGCAGAGTCGTCGAAAGCGAGAGTAATGACATGGTGGACATGATAAAGACAAGTCAGTCCAGGATGTATGTAAACTCTGTGCTTGTGAGACACGTACAGACAATATCGTACCAGTATCGCACATCGACTGCAAAAGAATTAAGTACGATATTTGCATATTAACTGCAGCAATTGGAATATATAGGAAGAATACTATGTCACAGATAACCTTAAGCCTATGACGAGCAGCTTACATAGTCCGGTGGACATTGACAAGATCCACAAGGTTGTGCTGTAAATGTCCATCATAAATAACCATTAATAAGTAACAAATGTCGGTATATTCAACCACATTAAAACTGCACGCTAGACGGCGGAGGGTTCCACCCATCCCCAAACATACGTCTCAAACTCGTCAGCATATCCACAGTCCTCGTCAACCGACACGACTCCCTCCTCCTCGTCCACCACTCCTTTTTCCAAAAGTCCCAATACCACGTTCTGTTCCATACTTCTCGCATTTTATCCCTTTCTTCATCACTGGCGAGGAAGAATTGGTAGTAGTACCATTGGTCACCGCAGTCACCTAGAACGAACTCGGTGTCGAGTGAGGAGAATGTGGCGGGTCTGAAGAGAGCTGCGGGTGCGTCGGGGTCGCCATGCCATACCGAGATGAAGTGCGAGGGTCGGAGGAGGAAGAGAGCGTTAATGAGTGTTTGGTCTTTCCCGACGAAGACGTGCTGTGCGAGGTAGTGGTCGTGGTATGCGTAGTAGTATTTCTCCCACCAATCCGCGACTTTAGGGTGACCACCGAAGAACGAACCTATGGGAAATATGCAAACATGAGGTTAGTTAAGGTGTTCATGAGGCTAATCGGGAACTCATACCCTCGGATACGTCATTATCTACTGGGCCCAAATGTTCCATCCATAGTTGCATGGTATAATCAGGTAATCGCTGTACCGGGAAGAACACGAGCTCGTCCTTCTTCGTCCCGCTCAGTACTTCACCATCCTTCCATACTTCGTCCAGACGAGCGAGATCAGGCCAAGACGAGTACACATGTTTTCTCCTAAATGACCCTGCATCATTCCAGAACGCGTATTGAATATCATCCGCACTCGTCATCCCGAGCGATTCAAGTCCCTCTCCTGCATTCAGGCGACGCAGAGCTTCAGCCAGTAAGAATGGTTTTGCAGCCCACACAGCGTATAGTTCTGGGCTATGATGGTCTTTCTCCCGATCCCAGGAATGCATCTTCTCGTAGGTCTCCTTGCGGCCTTGCAACGGCGGGATGTCGAACGCGGTTTCATAACGCGTGTCAATGACGATCGGTAACGACCCTCGAATGGCACGAATGGTTGGTTCAAGATCTGGTGGTGCGTAGAAGTACACTGGAGTCGTTATCCGTCCCAGAAAGCGCGAAAGCCAGTCTGAATATTGTGCCATAGAATGTTTCGACTTAGAGAGAGGGAAGAACGCAGAGACGAGTAGGATGTGAGGTACGGCATCTTGTACAGAATGCGAGATATTAGAGGAAAGCGGCGGTGGCGAACCAAATGCTGGGGATATTGGGACTATCCTATTTGATGCCCAAGCAACGACCTGACCGCCAAAATTATTGTATAAGAATATCGACAGCGGAATAAGCAGGACAAGCAAAGTAAGCGGATAACGGCGAGGAAAGCGCAGCATTGCAGGTGAACAGCGTATGGCCGCCATTCCGAAGATTGTTTACAGAGCAACCACGGTAGGTAATCTACAAGACCCCTTCAGAAAAGTATGCAAAAAGAATGGATGTCCAGCTCACTCTCAGACCAAATCGCGTCAAACCCTCCTCTCTCCCACACTCAAGTCACCGTTTAACAATGGCTAAACAATATACCGTGCTCGACCTACTCTCCTCTGAGTCTACACTTGATCTGTGACGTTTGTTGATGCTGATGAATAGGTGAACGAAGAAAGGGAAAAATGATTCAAAGTTGCAAAGTCGCCGCAGTCCGTGATTTGCAGCAAGTTGCGATTGTGGGAACCAACTTCCTTTCTCATCATGAAACTTCGCCTAGCTTCAACAACAGGGAACCATTTGTGTTTCCCAGAATCCTCTGTTAGCAATCTTTCGTACACCTTTACAGTCACCGTAAAACTTGGAGTCTAATACTCACCTGTGCATAAATAAGTCTTCAAATCTCAGTCTATCGAAGTTATTTGCACATATTTTTTTTTATTTAGTCTAATCTCTGGATGCTGTAAGTGTAACTACCCTGTTTTATATATTTTAACCGTACATTTTCTACTCAATCAAGAACCACGTTGTATCAATTCTGAAATTCTAAAATCATGCAAGCCCTTCATTTATCGCTGTGAACGACTGCGCGTTAAGTCCATTTAGCGCCGGCGTACGCCTACGAACGAGATACAAAAGGTGAGTCGAGTCGATAACCCTCGCTTCCTCGTTGTTACGAGAGAAAGTAAGTTGCAGACGCTCGACAATTTTGCGTTTTGGAGCGCTTGGCCTGCCGCGGAAGAGACGGCAGGAGAAGTGAATAACGGACGAGAGCATAATCTTGTCCTCGCGCATGTAAGGACTGTCTATGTAGGGTGGCGGCTCGAAACCATCGTGTTTCCAATCATACTCCAGCAAATTGAACATGAGATCATCATCGCCTGCCAGAGATCCTAGTAACTCTAGGATGTAAACCATAGGAAGGGACTCTTCTGTCGAACCCTGACAATCCACTGAAAGAGACTCGAGACTCTCACATTCATCGAGGAATTCTCTGAGTGATAACGAGGTGAACTTGAGATATCCTATAGATAAGTGTTTGAGGTTTGAGAGCTTGATGCAATAAGCGTTGTCGAGAAAGAGATCATATCTTAGAGAATCTTTGCAATGAGGAATCTCCAACTTGTCTTGTTCACTCCTGATTGACAGCGAGGTGATACTCTTCTCGAATAAAGTGATAAAGTTGCTCACAGATCCACACGAATTGGACTCGCTCGCAACGATTGAAAGCGTTGTTACTGGCGGCAAGTCCCACTCGTTCTGGCAACGTCGGAGGACAGCATTATGATACCTTTCGTGCGAGTTTGGATCAGGATCGATGATAATTAGTGTCCGAAGGGACCCCATCGGAATGAGCGATTGAACGGTCAGTATTGAAAGTGGGACGTTGACGAGATGTAAGGTTGTGATGTATGGGAAATGGGCGAGAATGCGTCGAATTCTGTTGTCTTGCTCTTGTAGCTCGGAACAGTAATGATCGCACCCATGTTCTTCGTCGTTGTGAGTTACAATACCACCAAAGGAGAGGAACCTATCACGCCATGTCAGAGTCATCGTAATTTTGGAATTTAATTTCTTTAGAAAGAGAGATGACCCACTTTATCTTCGAAGTATTCTGAATAAAATCTGGCAGCGAACCGTCTTCCAATTTCCTGAGATAGCGTGTATGTGTCTTGTCGCCGATTAACTCGACACCTTGGCGGACAATCTCTCTACACAGTTCCCATGTGGCTCGGCATACTAGGGAAAAGTTCTTGAGGTCCCGAAAACGAGATTGAATGGATTCCAGTTCGTCTCCTGAACCTTGCAAGCTGTCCAGCTCGGAATCGTTCCTAAGGGCGTTTGGAGGGACAATTGACACAGCAACGTGGTACCTAAGCTCAATCGGAAGATCGAATAGTCGGAAGGCCATCGGCATTCGTGGAGAACTCGTCCAGGCCCAGGCAAGATAGCGCAGAGTGAAACACGGGTGAGGGAGAGAAGGGTGAATTTAAATGAAACCGTATGTCAGCCGCAGACCACAGGTCTGATACCACCTTAAAACCGCGTCCACTGTATGAGTCACTGTGGCCAACCTGCAGACAATGGTGAAACTATGATTAAAGGTGACCAGATTCAAGTCGCGTCTCACTTTCATGAGCCACGGGCGTTGCTTCGGTTTCTCCCGTTCGTATGAAAGCGAACCACTCCAAGCATGACACTATGTACAAACTTTACAGTAAAAAATTTCAAATGCTTTTATGGCCATTCTGTCTCGGGCAGCCTGCATTGTCGTGTCGTGATGAGAGCAACAGTCAAGGAAAGCCATCCACTTATTAAAGGCCAGCCGCGTTATTGGTTACTAAGCAGGCCTCACCCATTCTTGGTGCTAGTTGCCATATTGGTCTATAGTCCCTATTCATACTAATAGCCCTTTCTTTCATATTTACGTGCATTTTGTACGTCCAATTCATGCATCTCGAATATTCATACTATACATTTTAGAGAAAGTCTTATCAAATCAATGTTTCCCAAATCCTGCAAATTGCACGCTTGTCACGAATGAATTCTCGTCAAGTTCATTCAGCGTCGGGCTACGCTTTCGAACAAGCTTCAACAGTTCGGCCGCATCTGTCCTTGCATAATATTCATCGTTATCTTGGAAAGTGAGCTGAAGGATCTTGACTTTTCTGTACTTGGGAGAAGCTTGACTGGTATAGGGGGAGCTACTGTTCTCACTCGAGAAAGTGCCAGAAAAGTGGACGACGGGTCTGTGCATAATGTCATCCTCATATCTGTAAGGTCCATGATACTGTCCTGAACCACGCTTCCAATAGTACTCCTGCAAATTGGACAAGAGGTTATCATCGCCGGCGAGGGAGCCCATTAATTCCAGGATATACACCATAGGCAGGGACTGTTCCAGTGAACCCCGGCAGTCCACTGACAGGGAGTCCATAATTTCGCCCTTAGGCACGATGTATCCGAGTTCGAAAGGAGTGAGCCGGAGATACCCCATAGATAAGTGTTTGAGGTTTGGAAGCCAGGAACAACATGTATCGCCAAGAGAAATAGTGGCTCGTTCGAGCGCGCCGCATGGGGAAACCACCAATCCTCTCTGCTCGCTTCTCAATGACAAAGAGGTAATGCTCTCCTCGAATAATGAGATTATGTTGCTCAAAGACGCACTCGCACGAGAATCTCCCATAACGACAGAAACGTTTGCTATTTGTGGTAAATACCACTTAGTCTGATCGCATCGAAGGGTAAAGTTACTATATGTGCCCCGTGGATTTGGTTGTGGATTGACGATGATAAGCGTGCGAAGAGCTTGCATTGGAAAGAGTGCCTTGACTGTCAATATTGAGAGTGGGACGTTAACAAGATGTAATGTCGTGATACATGGGAAATGAGCGAGGATACGTCGAATTCTGTCGTCTTGTTCTTGTAACTCGGAGCAGTAATCGTCGCATCCATGTTCTGTAGAGTCATGGAGGATGAAACCTCCGAACGAGAGGAACCTTAAGCAGTTAGATCTTTTATTATTATTTTCAGAAAGTTATACGACCCACTTTACATTCGAAGTATCCTGGATAGAATCCGGAAGCGTACCATCATCCAATCTCCTCAGGAAGCGGATGTGTGACTCTTCGCCGATCAACTCGACAACCTGAGAGAGGAATTCTTTACACAGTCCCCTTGTATCGCTGCATGCCATCGCGAAGTTTCTGAGGTCTCGGAAACGTGGCTGGACAGATTCGAGTTCATCGCTGCTCATGCAACAGCTATGTGCTGTGAAGTCTGTCTTCAGGACCTCCAGAGGGGCTATCGATGCCGCGATCCTATACTTGAGTTCGAATGGAATATCGAGAAATCCAGGTGCCATAGTTTCTTGTAGAGAAGAGAACTCAGAGAAAGGTGTGGTGTAGGGTAAGATGGGGGAACTCGGACAGAAGGGTTACAAGTTTCGGTGAGACGCTTTGGCATAGACTGCTTATTGTATGAGTCATTGAGGGCCACACATGCGTTGGACAAAGGTGGCCAGTAAGAGCGTGGCTTAAGTGGAAGCCTGGTAAACTGCGAGATTCTTCTGTATAAATGGCTGTTCATTAATCGTTTCCATGAACAATAGTTGCACAGAAAGTACTACTACTTCTGTGCAGTTCAGCCACCACTACTTTTTTGAAAGAATAATTGAGTTATGAAATGTCTCACAAGTTGTAGGGTGAGCAGTCCACCTAAATTACTTGACAGAAAGGGGAAGGCCAACTTAAGATACAAATCAGAGGGTGTAAGACACTGTCTCGGAATTGACTAAGTTATATTCATAAAGGGATAGTTGAAAGGCAGAATGGTCGTTCAGTGCACGTCAAAATGCCCCTATATCAGTAAAGAGTTATTACTACAGAGTTAGAATGATCATTGATGTATACGTGTTTGAGCTGTGGTAGCCTTCATCATTTCCGGTTTGTGCTACACTCGTCATTTAAAGTGGCACTGCAATATATATATATATTCAAGTTCGTGCATTATTTAACAATTGTTTGGTGTGGAACTTTTGTCCTAGACAGCCGTCATGATAAGAGCTAGAGGTGTGCAGAAAGTATCAGGAAACTCACATATTTCCATATCAAGAAAACACGATCAGTCCTGATCTGTGATTAGTCATTGCACACTCTAAACTCTGATTAGCATGATAGTGTGTCCTTAATTTGTCATTCTACCGACTCCTGAGTCTACACCTACAACATGCCATTCGAAAATCAAAAGAAACCTACTGAATTTATGAAAGTGTCGCCCATCCAGGGAGGCTCCTTGGGTCTGCCCGCCGGCCCGCCCACAATTTATGGACATCAGGGATCGCGGCATGCTCGTTGCTGGAAAGACGTTCCGACTCCACAGCCCATTTCTTGAAGTTCTTCCACTCGCCAAGCATACCAAACATATACGCAAGGCGCTGTGTCACCTGGATACGCGCGATCGCGTCAAGTTGCTCCTCGTCTATCGCACGTAGGACGTCAGTATAGTACTTGATGTCGCGTTTCGTGCGCGTGCTTCTGATCCGCGGAGGCATCTCTATCCATTCATCGAACGATGACGATGAGTTGAAGGATGACAGCGCAACGGAGATAAACTTGCGCTGCTCGTCGCTTGCAGGGTTGTGAGGCGAACCGGCACATACCGAACAGGTACAGTCAAAGTCATATTTGATTTTAAGCTCTGCTTTTCTTTCTGTAGTTGGACGTACGATGTCAATATAGGATATGGTGATTTCTTCGCCTGGGACGATGTCACGCTTTGCACGAAGGTCGCAGATGAGTGTCCTCGAGTCACTATGTTGGCTTGTGTTCGGTGAGCAGCTACAGGGACAGAGATATGGTTTATTCCTTCATACCAAAGTTGATTCGCACGCATATACTCACCTATGATTGACTAGCGATATCTCACGACAGACTGCCGAATATTGCGTACAAATATCGGACTCCGAGAAACTAAGTTCAATTGTATTGGTACGGAGGATACCCGTGTGTGGACCACACTCGTTTACAGGCTTGCAATTGTGCAACGAAAGATACGCAGCACGGTCTTCTGGCTCGAACCAATAGAGCAGTTGTAGCAATCCGGCGTCCAGCATAGCCCACTTGTTACCGTGAATGCAAGTAATCACACGGGCTGCAACGAGAAGTGGAAGTTCGCGCACGATGACTTCTCCCTTTGATATCTTGCGCAGTGCCACCATCCCGCGACCTTTTCCTGCGATTTCGCGAATCTCGTATGGACGAGGAAGAGGTGTAGAAGGGATTTCCCAACCTTTGTTGACGCTGAAAGCCTTGTTGAAATCTTTGTAGACCATTCACGTTGAGACGACTCGTTGCTTGTCGGGTGTCCTGCACATGCAAAAGATAGGAAGGCCATATATCTTGGTCTGGCGAATGAGAGGCTAATACGAACAAACGAGTGTGTAATCAGGCGTTTCCATTCTGAGTATTGGGTATTAGGATCGTGATGAGAGTGTCTTGAAGAGACGTGTCCAATAACAAGAATTTATACAGTGTTGAAGACGTTGGTGCTTAAAGCAGTGGCACGCGCCTTTACCAACATAAGCGCTAAAGAAGAGTCAGAGTGAAGACCTTTTATTATAAAATTCAAATTATAGAAGAACTTACAACTTTTGTAAAGCCAGAACAACAGTGGCTCTAACTTGCATGAGTGTAAGGAGTGGGTATTGTTGGAAGTTGCACCATGTTGTACCAAAGTTGATTCTGGGCCACCATGCTCAAACCTCAAGGCTACTACTATAACAGGTATGAGCAATATCTTTATATATTATAAAAAATGTTATTAGACAGTACAAACCTTTACACTCTTACGTTACTATAGTAATATTTATAGCTTTACAGACAGTAGATCAGGCAGTACAGCTTCTGTACAAGTAGATTTTCAGTGCTAGCAAGTTTTAAGAGATGAAAACCCAGACTAGAGGGATCACAAATATAACAGCTAGAATGTTAGTACTAGTAAAACTATTAAGCATTACTGATCAAATCTGTATTTAGAGATACAACATACTAGTTAGGTACAAAAAGTCTATACAATTCATTAAGAAGCTCAAAATTTGCTGACTAGTATGAAATAAGAACTTAATGTGGACAGGTCTGCTCACATAGAAGATATGTAAGAAATAGTGGTTACTTTAATGAGACAGGAAATTCTGTTAAGGAAAATGTCAAAATGTAGGATTTACATGTATTACTTGTAAACATGTATGAATAAACCACAATCTTGATTTGTACAGAGATAGTAATACTGTGTACTAGAGTAACTATTTTGTCTCAGATAATTTATTCTATTATAATAAGAGTAAGAGTAAATAAAAGAGTTATGTACTTAATATATTAGGAAAGTCACTTTATTAGTTACTAAATATTCACTACCTTTTTTCAATATTATTTGGTCTGTTTTTGTCTCTGTTTATATTAACAACTTTTTGTATAGAATATCTTGTATTAATTCAGTACTTCTCAAATCATGCAAGCTGTTTAATTGTTGAGAATGATAGTCTGTCAGGTTTGTTCAGTGTTAGACTATACTTTCAAACAACTCTTAACAGCTCAACTACATTCATTTTTACATAATATTTATTATTGCTCAGGAAAGTAGTTAAAGGCTCTTGACTGTTCTACATTTACTGAATCTGTGTGAGAGAATCTGTAACTACACATTTGATGAACTTGTATGAAAACTCTAATAAAATAGCAAATATAAACTATTAAGAAATGTGTGTACAGTTGTATAGACAGAAATTCACATACTCCTTTTCTATCAAAGCTATTGATTGTGCTCTTCTCAACTTTGGTATTAAGTCTGCTTTGAGATGGGTTCTGAAATAGTTTGTTCAGCTGCTCCTCAAGTTGTATAAAAGTAACTCACTTCATTTGCAAGTGTTACAGTTTCATCAGTCCTAATGTTAGCTTCGAATGTTGTTAGATGAATTGATTTTCCGCGTGCTGAGCCATCAGAAAGTTCGTTTCGAAGGCTTGCCCTAGAATTGAGCCTATATTTATGTCAATAAATAGTTGATAAATAAATGATAGCCAATACTAACGAGGCAAACATGCAGTTGACATATACTTGAGAGTATTAAAGACTTAGCACTAATATTATGGTTAGCTCGAAAAACTTACATCTTGGCAAGACAAGATCAACAAACACGTCCAAGTTCGATTTAGGCATGGCAACAACGCCAACAAGACCTATAATGCTCCAAATACCAGTAATAAGGCCTGTACTGATACTGTACATAATCAAGCGTTTAACCACCGAGTCTGTCGACTTGTAAGCAGAACGACGTCGCTGAAGAAGGATGACAAGAGTGATTGCAATGACTGAGTCCACAACTGTGATAAGTGAGTTGAGTGCTGTAATTATATTCTGTATGGATGCAAGTTGCTCAAAGCTGGAAAAGCCGTAACTCTTGCCGAAGAAAACGAGATTGATCGAGAGGAGAGCAGCAATAAGCAGGGCGTTTAATCCTGTCAACACAACACTTTTGTTGCTCACTTAAAATAGAATCAGCAGGGGAGCATTAAATCACATGTAAGCCCACCTACAATGCCAGATCCGCACAACAAAGAGGATCTGTACCAATGTATCAACCACAGCTTGGAGAACAACAACAGAGGATGTATTTCTAAAGTGATGACCTCTGTTAGATATACAAAAAAATTGGCCTAAAGGGCTCACTCGGGAATGTGGTTCAGGGAAGAAACGTCAGCAAAGTGCTTGACAAAAAGGACGTATATCATGCGACAAAGAATGCCTTGATGAACAGTATCGAGTGCCCATATAAAGATGACATATGCCTGGAGTTGCCATTTATCCGTTGTCACGTATTCCTAACGGTAACGATGAGGGATGTAGGTCCATGTAATAGAAAGGAGATGGCATACCTCTATGTAATAGTACAGTTGGACTGCCGATGTACCCCACAACCTGAAAAGAAGCTGAAGCTCTTCTCTATATAAAACAGAATGAACTTACGCCATGGAGAGTCTTTATACGATTGTTTATTTCAGTTCTAGCAAAATCTCTTGAATATCATTGTTGTACTCACAAACCGGCAAGGATGAGTAAGCCAATCTACAAAGAGCAAGCTGTCAATGTATCTCAGGATGCATTGTCGAACAAATGACACTTTACATACTGTGGCATCTAGTGACGGTACTTCAGGACTGGAACTCATTTACAAGTAAGCTTGGTAGAATGCTCGTTAACTGTAAGAGGAGATGAATTGCAGCTGAGTGGATGGGTTATATTCTCTAGTACCTACTACCGGGCATTACGAAAGGTCCGAGTTTGATGTGCTTATTTTCCGGAGTACACTATTCTCCGGAAACAGTGGCGCAGGGGATCAGTATTCTGCTGATCTATTAAAGATGATCATGTGCTGGTGTGTGGCGCACGTACAGATATTATCAAGATGCTCCATGCTTCTCATACAGAAATACATTTGGGGTAGAGATACAACTTACTATACATGTTCTCTTGTATCTCTAGACGAATGGGTATTGTGTGGAATCAGGCATCACATGGAAGAATGGAAAGCAACACAATAAGATAAATAGTTTCTCAAGATCAATACACCAATTTCATAATTGACATGATTGGTTTGTACATGTGAAACATGGATAGTGGCTTCCAGCACTTCCTGATACACTGTACTGTGACACTTCAAGTTGTACATTCTAAAAGTTACAACAGCGACCTCTAAGTATAAAAATAGTAATGCATTTTGCATGCATACAATGGGTAACAGATTACACCATAAATAAGGCATGTGTAATCAGGTGGCTGGTGCTCAGAAGCTGATATATTCCAAAAAGAATGGAAGGAATAAAACACAGCAATTTTGTAATGCTAGATGGAACCTCCTCTACTACAACGTATACTACTGTATATTAATACATTAATGCACTTGACCACTGTTTGGGGGCCTGGTAGTCGGATGACCTCCACAAAAGCAAATTAGGTTTATTTTGCCAAGATTCGGCTTCCTAAATATTTGTTGTCAGAGTTGCCGAACGTCTTTAGCATCCCTCCATCTCATTTTGTGCTTCCTATTAGTAAAGCATTATAAGCATGTCGACTCCGCGTACTCGAGTGCAAGACACCCCCTCCGGTTGACTCTTTGCCATGGCTGATGACCTGAAAGCACTTGGGAGCATTATTTCATCTGCTATTACTGACATCTGTGGTGTCTGCGATAAATCCGGAAAGGCTTTCCCTGCCCTCAATGACCCAATCCACCCATCCGAATTTACCCCCCAGGGAATACGAAATGACCCTTCCGTCGTACAGTCCATCAACCTAATTGTAGCGGCAGCATCACAGTTGCTTGCAACTGTCCGTCCACCTGCAGCTACGATGACACTGTCAGCTTTCAAGGTACTTGAACGCAGACTTTGATTGTCATACCATCTCATTGTCATATATTAGTACACGTTACCTGCTGCTCTTGGCGTTGCTGAGGCAGGCAACGTGGCAGAGACCCTTCGTGAAGCTGGCCCAAATGTGCGGAAACAGGCTTGTCCATGCGCTACAAATACTGACACAAAAAATGTACAGGGTTTACACATAAACCTAATTGCTGCAAGAAGCGATATGCACCCGAAAAAGCTCTGTGAGAGTTCTAATATTGCTTTAGTTCTTCGACGGGTGCTTATATTTCTATTCAAGCTCGCATTCTGCGTTATCTCGCAACAGAGCACTGGTTTCGCGAAATTAAACCTGATGTCTTCACAAACAACTTGCTCTCGTCACTCTTAGATTCAGGAAAGAAAATCACGAAAGATTTTGAGTGAGTTGGACTACACCAGTCAAAACAGGCTAGTCCGACTGACAACATACAGTCCATGCACCAAATATGACAACTCCAAAGGAATGTCCGCACTAGCAGCCTATGGGTGTGTAACAAGTCAAACAGTTTTATAATGGTCATTGCAGCTCACACACTGGCTTGGCAGGAGTGACGAATGCTTGAAGTCAGGCTCGTACCTCGTTGAGGTGATGACTGATCCGAACACGAAGTTCTCTGAAGAGCCTAACTGCTCTGCCTTGCAAAAGGCACTGAGAATGACTGATACCTTTTTCGAGTACTTTGACAGAACAACAGAACATTTTCGGCGAAAGAGGTTCGCCATTGTAATGACTATCGCCAACAAGACACATACGCCGGCATCAATTTTAGCAGGTTCGGCACTGCCTTATTCGAAGAGAGATTAAACTTACATGCGATGCAATTTCAAGGCTTTGACTGGGCCACTCTGCCGGACGGTAGCATCGTCGTTGATGTTGGCGGGGGGTTGGGACATGTCGCCCTTGAAATCGCGAAGGTCTACCCCAGACTCCAGATGGTCATTGAGGATAGGCCACTCGTAATCGAAGAGGCAAAGCAAGTGAGTGCTTTGGTGAATGATGTGACTTCCCCTCATTCGATACACACAGTTCTGGCAAGAGAATCTTCCCACCCATGTTTCCAATGGTCACGTGCACTTCATCGGTACTCTCCGTCGTCTTTTATTTTTTTACCAAGATCTGACACGGAAACAGGAACCGATTTTTTTGAGGCACAGCCCTCATTGCCTGGGACTGTATCTGTCTTTCTCCTGCGGATGATCATTCATGACTGGTCCGACAAATACGCTGTTATGATCTTGCGTCACCTCCGTGCAGTAGCAGGTCCCTCAACAAGGCTTGTGATCATTGACAGCATACTCGATTACGTATGTGGGTCCGGAGTGGAGATAAATAGAGTGCCTGCACCTCTCCTTCCCAACATGGGTGGTGCAAATGTGCTCCCGTACTCGGCGGATCTTGCAGTATGTGGTTCAATAATAGAGTTTGTTCCAAGTCTTAAAATTATCTGAGGTGTTCGGTGTCTTGAATGCTGGAGAACGCACGATTGACGGGTTTAAGGAAATTCTGTCTTCCTCTGGATGGAAGCTTCAAGAAGTCCGTAGGAATGCATCCAGTTCGATATTCAAGCCTGCTATTATTGCACACCCAGTGTGAATCTGGCTTTCTTATGATACTAGTACTGCATTCTATACAGCAGAGCTTGTAGGATTCTTTGATCGGCTTGGTAGCTGTGTTTTGTGGTAACATGCAAGGATTTGAGCTGTAGTTGTAGATTGTCAAGTAAACATTGTTTGTCTGATGTTCTGTGGTAATAATATGGTGGTATGAGTAATGCAAGTTAGCACCTGTGCAAGTATGCATTGATAATGTTGAGGCTATAACAGAGATATAAGAGAGAATATGTGGATTCTAATACTGTGGCTCCCAAATAATGTACTAATACATACCAAAAGAAAGCAGCCTGAGCCAAAGTATAATATTCTATAAATATTATTTGTTTAATCTACTTTGCAATTAAAGGAAAGGGGTGCAGCCCTTTTCCTTAATGTGTCTACACTGCAGACTCTGTAGTGAGTTTGTATGCATTACACAATGTACTAGGCTCACAGGGATTGTCAAAAGAGAGGTAAGAATTTGACATTAAATTGTAAAGGCTTTGATCTTAGACTCATAAGTGTGACAAAATCATTTTCTACAGAGTGAGTGTCTGATAGTAGGTTTACAAGATACTGAGCAAACTAGAGACAGTGACGTATCAAGTTCTACAGTCTCTGAAATAGTATATGGATCTGAAAATCAAGGGTGCCCTCGTTTTTGATCTTCTACGGCGACTTACTTAAAGAACATGCATTCTGCATTAAGGCAAGACAGTACCAGAAGTTCTTCTTCGATTCGTCCATCTTGATTATGTGTCATAATATTGTGATGTACTATGTTAATAGCAGGGCAGTATGGTTTAAAGGGGTTAACTACATGCCGGATGGTACTCACGCAACAATGTCCGGCTAAATTTTCAATATCCTGATGGCAAAACATCTACATCACTAGCACCGGACCCGAGTAATTCATGGATCCGAGGTCCAGAACAGTGTTTCAAGATAAAAGGTAGCCGCCTCACCTCAAGAAATGTGTGCCATATACTGTAAAGGACCTTCTGAGCAAGCTTTAAATCATCACAATTAATTGAAATGTTCTGGCAATACATAGAACTGACGCGTATCAATAAGGTGAGTGTTGGTTTGATCATCATTATTAGGCTGTAACTCAAGTGAAGCATTTTAGCCTGCTGGATGGATGGCTGTTCTCTGGCCTTACAGAATGTGTTTCCCTGATTTATTGGACAGAATCGTTAACATATGCATATTACACAGTGTATGGACTCTGTCAGGGAAAAGTCCATTTTCTTATATAGCTTTATAGTTCTTATATAGTAGAATACACATTATTTATAAATTATATAGTAACTGTAAGAATTTTAATAAGGTTATAAAGTAAAGATAATTCTTATACATCTTATAAAGGTTCTAAAAGTATTATTAATGAATATAATACAGTATATGTATTATAATAGCTTTAAATATTGAGTAAATATATTTTAACAAAAATATATTGAGAGTAAATACTTTATTATAGTATTTTACTTGAAGAAAAAGACTTGTGTCTACTATATAATATAATATAAAAGACA